TAAATTATTATTATTATTATTAAATCGTTTATAATGTAAACATTTATGGTCGCCCTTATTTCTCCTACTCTCTTTTCTTCCTGCTCCTACCTCCCTATCCACTAACTTGGCCTTTTTTCTTTTTTTTTATAATTTTAGCGCTTTAGAAATGTAAATTATTATTATTATTATTAAATCGTTTATAATGTAAACATTTATGGTCGCCCTTATTTCTCCTACTCTCTTTTCTTCCTGCTCCTACCTCCCTATCCACTAACTTGGCCTTTTTTCTTTTTTTTTATAATTTTAGCGCTTTAGAAATGTAAATTATTATTATTATTATTAAATCGTTTATAATGTAAACATTTATGGTCGCCCTTATTTCTCCTACTCTCTTTTCTTCCTGCTCCTACCTCCCTATCCACTAACTTGGCCTTTTTTCTTTTTTTTTATAATTTTAGCGCTTTAGAAATGTAAATTATTATTATTATTATTAAATCGTTTATAATGTAAACATTTATGGTCGCCCTTATTTCTCCTACTCTCTTTTCTTCCTGCTCCTACCTCCCTATCCACTAACTTGGCCTTTTTTCTTTTTTTTTATAATTTTAGCGCTTTAGAAATGTAAATTATTATTATTATTATTAAATCGTTTATAATGTAAACATTTATGGTCGCCCTTATTTCTCCTACTCTCTTTTCTTCCTGCTCCTACCTCCCTATCCACTAACTTGGCCTTTTTTCTTTTTTTTTATAATTTTAGCGCTTTAGAAATGTAAATTATTATTATTATTATTAAATCGTTTATAATGTAAACATTTATGGTCGCCCTTATTTCTCCTACTCTCTTTTCTTCCTGCTCCTACCTCCCTATCCACTAACTTGGCCTTTTTTCTTTTTTTTTATAATTTTAGCGCTTTAGAAATGTAAATTATTATTATTATTATTAAATCGTTTATAATGTAAACATTTATGGTCGCCCTTATTTCTCCTACTCTCTTTTCTTCCTGCTCCTACCTCCCTATCCACTAACTTGGCCTTTTTTCTTTTTTTTTATAATTTTAGCGCTTTAGAAATGTAAATTATTATTATTATTATTAAATCGTTTATAATGTAAACATTTATGGTCGCCCTTATTTCTCCTACTCTCTTTTCTTCCTGCTCCTACCTCCCTATCCACTAACTTGGCCTTTTTTCTTTTTTTTTATAATTTTAGCGCTTTAGAAATGTAAATTATTATTATTATTATTAAATCGTTTATAATGTAAACATTTATGGTCGCCCTTATTTCTCCTACTCTCTTTTCTTCCTGCTCCTACCTCCCTATCCACTAACTTGGCCTTTTTTCTTTTTTTTTATAATTTTAGCGCTTTAGAAATGTAAATTATTATTATTATTATTAAATCGTTTATAATGTAAACATTTATGGTCGCCCTTATTTCTCCTACTCTCTTTTCTTCCTGCTCCTACCTCCCTATCCACTAACTTGGCCTTTTTTCTTTTTTTTTATAATTTTAGCGCTTTAGAAATGTAAATTATTATTATTATTATTAAATCGTTTATAATGTAAACATTTATGGTCGCCCTTATTTCTCCTACTCTCTTTTCTTCCTGCTCCTACCTCCCTATCCACTAACTTGGCCTTTTTTCTTTTTTTTTATAATTTTAGCGCTTTAGAAATGTAAATTATTATTATTATTATTAAATCGTTTATAATGTAAACATTTATGGTCGCCCTTATTTCTCCTACTCTCTTTTCTTCCTGCTCCTACCTCCCTATCCACTAACTTGGCCTTTTTTCTTTTTTTTTATAATTTTAGCGCTTTAGAAATGTAAATTATTATTATTATTATTAAATCGTTTATAATGTAAACATTTATGGTCGCCCTTATTTCTCCTACTCTCTTTTCTTCCTGCTCCTACCTCCCTATCCACTAACTTGGCCTTTTTTCTTTTTTTTTATAATTTTAGCGCTTTAGAAATGTAAATTATTATTATTATTATTAAATCGTTTATAATGTAAACATTTATGGTCGCCCTTATTTCTCCTACTCTCTTTTCTTCCTGCTCCTACCTCCCTATCCACTAACTTGGCCTTTTTTCTTTTTTTTTATAATTTTAGCGCTTTAGAAATGTAAATTATTATTATTATTATTAAATCGTTTATAATGTAAACATTTATGGTCGCCCTTATTTCTCCTACTCTCTTTTCTTCCTGCTCCTACCTCCCTATCCACTAACTTGGCCTTTTTTCTTTTTTTTTATAATTTTAGCGCTTTAGAAATGTAAATTATTATTATTATTATTAAATCGCTTATAATGTAAACATTTATGGTCGTCCTTACTTCTCCCGCTCTCTTTTCTTCCCGCTCCTACCTCCCTATCCACTAACTTGGCCTTTTTTTTTTTTTTTTATATAATTTTAGCGCTTTAGAAATGTAAATTATTATTATTATTATTAAATCGCTTATAATGTAAACATTTATGGTCGTCCTTACTTCTCCTACTCTCTTTTCTTCCTGCTCCTACCCCTCCCTATCCACTAACTTGGCCTTTTCATCTCAATTTGTAGGCCCATTTAACTTTTGTTAACCTATGACTAGGGTGGGTGAGGTGTATTCTTATGGCATTAATTTCTCTTGTACATGTGTCAAAGAAAAAATGTATGAAGTCGGAGGAAGTAGGAAACGGGTTCATGGCGATCGCTTGTAACACCAGATGAGCCAAAAACCCTGATCCCTGGCTGGTTGGACGCCGTTTTTTTTCAGATAATTAAAGGCGAGTTTCATAAATTAAAATGAAAACAATATAATTAAGGTAAAGATGAGATTATAGCCCAGAAAATTTCAAGATAATGTTAGGCAACGGAAGGTGACTCGTTTAATACAATTTGTAGCTCAGTATCTGGCAATTGCTGCGTAAATGGTTTACCTACCATATCAACATAGGCAAAGGCGTCATTCGACAGAATTGGTTTCGAAATTGTAACCTTTGGGTCGCAATAATGAGCTCGTGAAGGTTTTACTCTTCATTTCAATTCAAAACAAATAAAACGAGGGAAATCTGCCACAGATAATGACTGGTGTTGTTGTCAGCTCGGCCGTGGCTCCATGACAGGCGGGTCGCGTTACTCTCCGTCCGCCGGACATGGTAGCTATTTCCTTTGTACGAGCACTTACTTTTTCTTTTTAAGTTTAAAGGAAAGCGACTTCAAATACATCGAGCAACATTTGGAACTGGAAAATATTTCCATGTTAATCCAACAGATGCATAAAATTGCAAAGGATGTGACCTTTATCTTTTCGAATTCTTTCCTGAAAGAGCAAAGCCATACATTTTTTAAGTTATGCCACGGTTCGTGTAGTCGTTTTACAGAATAGAAAACCTCCCGTCAAAACTCATTTAAGACTCAGAATAGTGGTTTGCTAATGTAATGTGATGTTAGGTAATGTAATTATTTATTTAATGTCGAAAACATGGGAAGTGCTTGCGCAATATATCTTCCGAGCCAGAGGCTCATGTTAAAAAACGCTCGACAAACTAAGAAATACGAGAGTTATCCATCTACAAGTATTAAGAGAAACTTGAGAGCATCTGAATTTAAGAAAAAAATATGAATATATATATGTAGATTTGATTATATAATATATTAGATATGAATTTTATAAATATAAACTAGCCCAAAAGTGAATAAAAATATGAACAGATAAAGTTAAATA